AGAGCCCCCTCTTGCAAGAATGCTTTTTTTAGCTTCATTTTGTTTTGCCCTTGTCACCCATGTTTCACTGCGTTTTCTCGGGGAGTTGCTGCACGCACCCGGCTTCTACGGTTACGTTTCAAGAGGAAAAAATGACAATATTAACAACGTCCTCTTCAGAATAATGCACGTTTGTTATAAAGAAAGCTTTCTAAGCTACGTTTTTATATAGTTCGTTACCATCAATTTTAATATTTTCGTTTCATGGTTCTCGTTGATATGTGGAAATCGCGTATAAGCAAAAGAGGTTTAATCAAGAAAATGGAGCGGTCCCGGGACGACGTGAAAAAAAAAAAAGAATCAAATCAAGTGTTCTAACTGCAGCAATTTCTCTTTCGTATCTGCGAGTAACAACTGCTTGATCTGCTGTTTCCAGACCTGACGTCATAGGGCTTAATATTTATATTATTATTTTGTCCAAGCAGTATATTATGTGTAGTAAGAAGTATTCGAACAAGGAATGTTTCTTGATCAGTGCTCTCTGTATGACATGTATCCATCCTTTACATGAACAAATATGATGAATATATACAACATATCTGAAGTCTTGAAGCTACCGATCATACTTAAGAAACAACGATTAAGCCTTTCTTCTCATTTTTTATTTTTTTTGGTAGAGTGGAGTACAGTTGGTTGGAACCACAGCAGGAAAGGCGATTCTTGTGAAGTTGTCTTACAAAAAGAATACGAGTATTGATAATGCGACCACTCGGAGCTTTCTTGATATATTTTCTCTTTCATGGGCTTGGTCATAACAGGAACATGCAACGTGTCTTCACAGAAACAATGGCCTTTGAGGGTGAGACGCTGAGAAATATCAGTGCACAAATTTCAGTGTCTATTGAAAAGTATGGCAGCAGATCTAACGCGCGTTATTCTAATGAACACGAAATCGCTCGCAAATTTTAATTTCTAGGAGATTCTTGTGATGCGCATAACGCACCCTGAATTCCCCGATCTCCACACTCTCCCCCTTTAGTATGACAAAATTATATTATCTAGGGTTTAACGACCCAAAACTATGACATAATTATGAGGAACAGTGTAGTGGAGAACTCAGGAAATTCTGATCATCTGGAGTGCTTAACGTGCACCTAAATTTATGTACAGTACATTGGATCCAAGCATTTTAGCCACCATAGGAAATAAATACAGCAGGATTCAATGACTGCAATTTCAATGCCATTTCTGACCTATCCTGTCGAAAAGTGCTTCTCGGGTAGGCTATACCAGGAAATAAGGGTAAATCTGGAGTCAATTACGGAAAATCTCTTGCACATTCTACAAGATAAGCGTCACGGAAATGACGCCGAATAACTCTCGGTGTGGCTGGGCATGAAACAATTTTTGTATTCGAAACAATACCATGCGCGAAATTTCGAGAGTATATGCAACATTCACAGGACCTAGGAGCTCCATAACTCGGGGCATGGGTCACGAGGCACGGCACATAGCAGGCGCGAGCGTAATACCGGAGCCTCAAGGGGTGGCGCAAGACACCAAATCGAGAGAGGAAGCGAGGGAACGTAGAAAACTCGGTGGCTGCGGTGCTGTATAGTGTGACTCGCTGGGGACGGGACTCTTGGCGCTGCGGCGTCGGGGTTAGAATCAGGTTTCGCCTCGGACAGCTGGAGCGGATTGGATTCGCTTTGTACTTGATCCCCGCTACCTTTCCGAAAAGGCCTCGGTTTACTTTCTTAGTTTTTCGGTTTTCTCAGTTTCAGAGAAAAAAATGACGAAGTGGAGCATTCTGTAGTGCCAAAAATAAAGAAAATGGTCGCCCTGTTTGATGTTGTTCTTATAAGTCTAAATACGGCAGTCCGGTTGCACCTTCACAGATGTGTGCGCTACGATTGCCGCGAGTTTACGCACCCGGCCTGACTTAGGACGCATGCGCAGACTAAGAAAGCTTGAGCACGAGGCACAGATGCTTGCACCAACACTCGTCATTCCACAGTGTTTCATCATGCGTGTCAACAAGTAGGATTGCGACTCTGCCCAATGTCTGGTGCACGTCTGTGGGAGTGTTGTTTTCAGTTTTCAAGATCAAGATGTCTTGGTCTCCATTTCGTTCAGCACTTAGCTCTACTATCACTATCTACTTTGTTGAGTGAAGCGAGACAGTGGTAAATTGTATGCTGTAAACGAATAAGTCAAGGACTGGTTTCACTGACAACAGTAACGAGCGTTAGGTCATCGAAAGCAAACGATCTTCATTACAAAGCCTGCAACATGCATCTGCGAATGATGAGGTGAAGTACACTTTGACTCATCATTTTTTCATCGCTACTAAAGGGAGGCCGAAAACCGTGGTGTTTACCCTCGCTTTACAAGTTGAGAGCTTAGCTTCTGAAATGGCAACATACACCACGTACGGAAACACGAGCCGCAGCGCAACGTTACCGCAGTAACGACCCTACCTGCAACAGGGCACAGCCATGTAGTTACACTTTCGCTCTTCAACTTCTCGCAATAATAATATACCGCACTCCTTGAGACGTGTCTACATAAAATCATTGGCAGCGAGAGCTCTTTAAGCTTCGAAGAAGCACTGTGATTCGGCGCCCAAGTCTAGAAACGTGAGCACAACGTTCACGGTAGTGCTTTTGCTCTACAAGCGGTGAAGAACTTTTTAAAACAAAACGAAGCAGAGAGAACTAAAACCTACCGCGCGCGCTGACGTGTTGGTTCAACTTGGTGGGCTTCAATCGCGTTGCGTAACGCTCCCTTCTATACTTTTCCTTCCTCTATTACGGCAAGTACCTCCCGAAGCCGTCGCAGTCTCACATAGAGGCGATTTACAGCTATCAGTGTCAATCACTATTGCTTATTTCTGTGTGCATTAGGACAATATTTTCATATGTACACATGTTCATGTCTAATGTTACCAGGTAGAAATACGTGTACTTTCTGCTAAATTCATGTATCACTGCTCACAAAAACGTAATTCATTTAATAGAGATGACGAATTGTAATTATAAGTATGCATAATATTTATATTACCCCCGGAAACGTTGTTATACTACAGCGGGAATAATACTACGGCACTCTTGTTCAAATGAATGTCAGGTGATCCATAGTTCTGTGTGCGGAGTTTGTTTTTATTCTTAGCTCAAACGAGTATAAAATTTCCCTTATACCTCGTTATCGGCTCCCTACATCCCGGCTATTCACCCAGCTTAGTGACGGCAAAATAATTGTAACCACGCTTACTTGGAGCTCGTTATGGACGCTGTGCGGAAGAGGCGCTCAACTGCGAAAAATCGGCTTCTTCCGCAGAGGCTGTCACCTATCAAAAAAAAAAAAAAAAGAAGAGGGCTTTTGAGAGATACTTCCTTAATCGCTCTTCCATAGCCCACTTACAACCTCTACACTTTTGATTTTGCCGCCCTTTGTTCTGGGCTTTCCCAACACGAGTCAGTACAAGCCACAGTTCGGCGGCAACTGGAAAAGTTGATCGTTCAGGGCAGTGGAGAGAAAACAATTACAAGCAAATTTTGTAAAGAGAAACAAAAGGGCGTCGAACAGAATGACCTTTACTGTTTATGACGAGACACGGTACTTTCGGAAGGAAGGCCTAGGGGCGTGATAAAAGGAAGCCATGATAACGCACACTGGATAAGCAGGCTGGTGGCAGACAGGGGAAAAAAAAGAAAGGTAGAATTAAAAAAAAGGAAGCAAGCAATAAATAGGGCAGAAAACTGCTGCGTCTTCGTTGTTATACTGTAACTACGATCCCCTCCAAAGATGCGAGGGCGGGGTCCCTCAGCAAGCGCCCTCCCCTTCTTTCCTCGTCATGGCACTACACTCGTGCAATGTTCGGCCTTTGAGAGAGTTGGATGGAGGACGGGTACGGAGTTGACAGTGACAAACGAGGCGCACACTTTGCACACACTAGAGAGAAAGGCAGAGAGCACTCTTCCCTCTTCGCTTCCTCCTCTCACAGCATCATACCTCTGGATGGAGCAGTGAAGACAACTGCTCGAAGAGGACGTCCACAGACACACCTCTTTGCCGTCGACGCCACAACCCAGCCCGACTCTTTACGGCAGGGCAAACTCGTGGAAATTCTGCTCTCTACATTTTGTTTCCCCTTTTGAATTTCGGCTACTTTCTCTGACATTTATCATGGTGCAATAACTCGCCGATATTGAGGAACTATGATCGTCAGTAACTTTGGGCGTTTGCAAAAACGCGTGCAGATGTGCATGAGCAAGTAACCGTAATATAAAGGGAAGACGCAGCCAGCGTTTTTCAAGGCTCTGCTGTGGTTGCCAGTCTCTGTGGTTCAATCGCATTCGCCGTGAAATTTCTGCTATGACTTTGCTGCCTGATGAGCTCGTAGCAATTAAAGCTGCCCAATGACTAAATGCGCGATAGTATGAACTTGCCCACCTTATACTGATGCGTTTCACACCTAAAAAAGCAGTATTTCTCTGGGGAGATCTAATATATGTTCCAGGTCATCGGACAGCAACTCTCTGCAGTGCTTGGATCCAATTATAAGAAAAGCATACGTGGGATTCCAACTTAGGGGACCGGGCTGCTGTGTGCTGTCCTGCGCTGTCGTCGACGCTTGGCCCATCACCATCGAGGATGACTGCGGAGCAGAGCTGGACGACTTGCCTGCCTCTGTTGTCGATTGGTTTGTGCTTGTCTGAATGGAAGTTGCCGGTTTGCCTGTATTTGTTGGTGTTAAGCTTGCACTTGAATCTTTTCAAGCAGTGCCAGAACGCCAAGCCTAGCAGGTAAAATAAAAGCAATATTGAGACGGGATTGCTAAGAACGGAACGTGGTGCGGGTTCCATTTTCAGCGAATGCAGAAGTCATGATGGGAAAAAGCGATATAGCGTGGCAGAAGAGTTAAGTCACAACCGGTCATCACACAGTGCTGATCGCACAACATGTGTGTAGTTTAATGCTTTCCACCCACTGCCAGTGGACACGCCAACCAAGCCACGATGATGTCACCTAACGTACCCCTACTCGTGCAGGTTTCGACGGGATGCCTTTTTTCGCCGACCGGCTCATCGGCGTTTTGCACGGGCCAGCTTGATCTGCGTCACACCTTTGATGTACCGTTCAAGCTAGGCACTGGTATCGTTGCTGGTGATATCCTTGATACGCCAGTGGCGCCGCGCCTGCAGCCCGAGCATCATCTCTACTGCGCACACCTACGTGGCATGATGACGTCACCAGTTCAGCCCGCCAGCGCCACGCCAGCGGCTATAAAAGGGACGCCAATTGCTTCAAGCGGCAGTGGACACGGCAACCAAGCCGCGACGATGTCACCTAACGTACCCCTACTCGTGCAGGTTGGTGACTGGAAATATGGTTTCTGTAGTGACGATCCTTGCTTAATAGTGTTGCCGTGTCCACACACCATTCTAAACTGCATAAGTGACTGTTTTGCGCTAGCGGGTCTGTTGCTTTCGCTGTCGGGAGATGTCGAGCAAAACCCTGGACCTATTACGGATGCAATGTTTAAGGAACTGCTAGAAACGCAAAAAACTATCTTGTCTAAAATTTCGCAAATGCAAGAGCAACAGGCCTCATCTGAGTCTGCTATGATTCAAGTTCAAAACATATCATTAACAATTGAGAAAAAATTAGAGTGCATAGATAAAGTGGATGGTAGACTGCTAAAGCTTGAGAACGCAGTCGATAGGAGCCATACAGAATTGAGTGCTCTATGCAGTAGGGTTGCCGACCTAGAAAACCACTCGAGACGAAACAACCTTATTATTAGAGGCGTAAAAGAAGAAGGCCCTGAGAATGATGATGACTTACTAAAAAAATAAATGACGATATATTTGGCTCTATTCTCAACCAGAAACTGAATTCTATAGAAAGAATACATAGACTGGGAAAGAAATTTCCTGGCAAAGACCGCCCTGTAATCCTTAGAGTGGCAGACTACCGAGACAAAGTAAAGATACTGAAAAATTGTTTCAAGCTAAAAGGCACTCATATTAACATTAGTGAGGACTACACAAAACGTGTAACTGAGATACGGAGAAACTTGTGGGTCTCAAGTCTAGAAGAAAGAAAGAAAGGAGCGAAAGTTAGACTGGTTTATGACAAAGTTCTCATCAACAATGTTTTGTACACCTGGAGTGATGATGCCAAGAAGAAGATCAAGTGCAAAGCATCTGCTAAACCCAACCACCGATGACCTGAAAGACAAAAACAGGCCGATTTTAAGATCATCAACTTAAATGCTCACAGCGTACTGAACAAAAGTCACTTAATAGAAAGTGTAGCCTTGGAACATGATCCTGACATATTGGCAATCACCGAGACATGGTTGCACAGTGATGTACATGATGTGGAAGTCACACCGCCAGGTTACGTCTTAATAAGGAAGGACCGAGGCGGGAGAGGAGGCGGGGTAGCACTTATGATTAAAAGAGACATAAAGTATCAAACTTTGCCAGATGCTGGTGATATTGAAGCCGTATGGGTAAAGATTCGATTAAATGATCACCCTGTGTACATTGGAGTTATGTGCAGACCCCCCTGTTCTCCTGCTACGACTCTGACCGACTTAAGATGTTTTATGGATTCTAATATGCACCAAGACGACAAAATAATTTTGATTGGTGATTTCAACTTACCAGGCATTCAATGGGATACGCATGATATTATAGGAAACGAAGTAGCTCATTGTGAACATCTTTTGGACATTGCCTTTTGTTTTAACCTATGCCAAATCGTGTCTAGCTACACACGTGTTTTTAAGGCTGTATTCTCTATTCTCGACCTTGTATTTGTATCTTCACTCCTGGAGGAGAATGTTAAAACATGTGATGTAATTGAGGTCATATCAGATCATCAGATGGTTATGTTTTCCTTGGATATGGCGTCCGCTAGGTTGCACAAGGACTACAAAAATACAGTTCTGAACTTCGCAGCTGCTGATGACTTCTCTGTTTGAGAAAAACTTAAAAACTCTTTCGATACTTTTGTTCTCCTGCAAAATTCTAATGCATGTACAAATAGAATATGGGATTATTTCTCGCAGGTGGTCACTGAATGCATTCAATTCTATATTCCAACACGACAAAAAAAGATAGCAAAGAAAAATCCTTGGATAACACGTGACGTGATCCATGCCAAAAGGCAACTGAAACGAAAACGGAAAGCTCATTCAAATAATCCTTGCCCTGAAGGGAAGGAAACCATTCACACTATGAGCCAGGAATTGAGACGTCTAGTTAAAAATTGCAAAGATAATTTTTATAATGTTAAACTAAAAAAGTTCTTGCACGAAGCACCCGAAAAGTTCTGGAGATACGTGAATCCAAACAAAAAAACCCATCTTGATGCAGATAAAGAAAACTCACAATCACGTGCTGAAAGTTTTAATGCCTTTTTTTCGTCAGTATTTGCCCACGATGACAGACAAGTACCGACTTTTAATGAGGCTTCTGACACACCTGCCATAGAAGGAATAACGATTAGTGAACAAGGAGTATTGAACCTGCTCCATAAAATCGACAAAAAGAAAAGTGCACGACCTGACGGAATACCAAATGAATTTTTACATAGGTACGCAGTTTGGGTCTCGAAGTACTTGAAAATTATTTTCCAGTCCTCCGTAAGTAGTGGTTGCTTTCCCACTGCTTGGAAGGTTGGTAAGGTCATACCGATACACAAAGGTGGAAATACTAACGACTGCAAAAATTTCCGTCCCATCTCGCTCACAAGCACTTGTTCAAAGATTCTCGAGCATATTGTCTCCAAGCATCTTTTGGCTTATCTAGATGTTCACAACCTATTATACTCACAGCAACATGGATTTCGAAAAGGCCTATCTACTATTACTCAGCTTGTTGAACTTGTTCATGATCTCTCCTCTGAAATTAACTCGCAAGGTCAGGTTGACATGATACTCTTAGATTTTGCAAAAGCTTTTGATAAGGTGTCCCATGCTAAACTGTTGTTAAAAATAAACACTATCTTTAAAAACCCAAACCTAACGCAGTGGTTTTCCTCCTATTTCTCCAATCGCAAGCAGTATGTTCAAGTCAGCACGGAAAAATCTGCCCTTGCCAATGTTATTTCTGGAGTTCCCCAAGGCAGTGTCTTGGACCCACTACTGTTTCTGATTTTTGTCAACAATTTACTTAAATATATTACGGTCCCCATAAGGTTTTTTGCAGACGATTGCGTAATGTATAAAACAGTCAGATCTCCTACCGATCGATCAGAACTAAATCTAAACCTCTAAAAAATACAAAACTGGTGCACCATTTGGCAGATGGATCTAAACGCCGCAAAAACAGTAACGATGACCGTAACTAGGAAAAAACGCATTCTAAATACGACGTACTCTATAAACGATCATGAGCTTGGCAGAGTAGAACAACACAAATATTTGGGTTTATTAATAACTTCCGATCTACGATGGAATTTGCATGTAGACTCCGTTTGTGCTAAGGCTAACAAAGCATTGTGGAGACTTCGGCGAAATCTGCACCATGCTAGCCCGGAAATCAAATGCTTGGCTTACAAGGCTTTCGTACGGCCAATTATAGAGTACGCAAAGGTGGTATGGGATCCGTACACAACAAGTAATCGCACTAAGCTAGATAGAATACAAAAATTGGCGTCACGTTTCATATTTAACAAATACCAGCGCTGCCACTCCCCAACTCAGCTTTGCAAGCTGGCCCACCTTGAACCACTAGAACAAAAAACAGAGTATGAAAGACTTAAATTATTCTTTTTAATCATTAAAAAACAAGTAAAAATATACAAATCGAAGTATATGTATATAAAAACTGGGGAAACGTCAAGGCACCGGCGTAGCATGTACATCCCCCCTCTCAGATCACACAACGATTGTTTTAAGTTCAGTTTCTTTCCGCGGGCGATCGGTGAGTGGAACAGGCTGCCGAATTCCACTGTTTCATCAGAATGTGTACCTTCTTTCTTGAAGGGCCTAAAGGATGTCGTGTATAAAGACGTATAGTTTATATTTTGCTTATTCTATGTCCTCAAGAGCAGAGTGCTTTGGCTATTTCTTGTCATTCATTGTCATGTATAATAGAAGTTGTATAGGGAGTACCTATTTTTCTGTATGTATATTGGTTTTTTTCCACCCCTGTTATAGCCCGAATAGGGCTGACAGTATAATAAAATGAAATGAAAATGAAATGAAGGGCTCAGTCATGATTCTTCATCATCATCAGGTGCATGAAACATCAATAGTGCCCGTAATACCTTGCAGATGTGTAGTGGCACTTCGCTTATCCGCAGAAAGACCAATAATGGCGTAGTATGTGGTCTTCTACTTCACAAAGGAGTCACAGCTTTGCCGCAAATGCGAATATAAATAGCGTACCATTTGAGCGGTGAAGGACGTATTTTTCAGTGGCTGAGTGGTTAACGTCTCACACTCGCGATTCAGAGGACCCAAGTGCGATTCCGCACGCTAAAGTCTTGTTTTTTTTTTCTTCTTGCATGTTCATAGATACGTATACATATACGGTGAGTGACAGCGACGGCAAAATCCAGCCGAGAGTTTCCATATAATTGCCATCGCAATAAAATTACGATTCGTGTTGTAGTCCATACTTTGCGGAAAGGTAAAGCATAAAACCCACTTGGTCATGCCCCAACACGAAGCTGCGTTGAGGATTCACATTAGGCAGGTTCGTAACCAACGGCGAGTTTTCGATGCGGCGAGTTTCCGTCCATCTGTCCACCCATCAAGCCGAGAGGCGGCTCAACAAGGCCTGGTCACCGGGTACTGACACTTGTCTATTAGTATTTAACTTATCGCTAACAACGCTATTCATTTCTAGTCATCGCGGCAATAGTGTTAGGCACACTCAGAAGTTATTTTCAGTCATTTTCCTCACAAAGTACGATTCATACGAAATTTGACCAAAAACGGCGTTTCAGCGCTTGGTCGAGCTTTTTGCCTCTCTCATTCACGTCAAAACCGCTCTCACTAGCATCCACTTTAAGCTCCCAAGAGCATACGTAGACTACCAAGGTATAATATGGCGTTACATTCACGCCCGCGGGATCAACACTCCGATGAACATGAAAATCTCTGAACAGGCTCTTCTTTCGAAAGTTATATTACCAATTTTTTGATGTAGTTCTTCTGATTGAGAGTACACTGTCCATCACAGTTTTGGTAAAGAAGCGGTGCACTTTATTTTCCCATGCGTCAATGCCGTGCTTTTTTTCTTTGAATTCGCCTTTCTTTGGCACCCTTGACGAGACCTAGCTCTAAATGGCTCAGCAGGAGCGTCTCCTGTTGAGTCTCTAAGAGTCAATATTTGTTTTCAATTTTCGGAAAGGACGAGCCGAAGCAAAAATATATTGGCCACAGCTATGAGCACTCCGGAAACGATGAGAAAAGCAGGCAATACACAATCCTCTGAAACCTCCCCATTTTTGCGTCTATATCGTTCCTCCACGATTCACGATGCGATTTGATGATAGTTTGAGAAACAAAAAATGACGGACACATTTACGTCAGAACATTTAATGGTCGAGGTCATTCGTGTGTCGCAGATAGGATAATATTATCATCATGAATGGGCACAAGGTCATGAACGCCCTATGTACAGATCGTTAAATAGAGAAGCTGAAACGTGCCCATCATCTCCGCTGTTCCTTGCGTGACATATTGAGAACTTCGCAATTTGTTTATTATATTCACACATAACTATGTATCATTAGATTATTACTGACTATAGTTAGACTTTATACTTAGTACACACCCAGACATCGTGGGGGATGTGGAAGTGCTTGGCAAGTTACGATGCAGTAACCATAGAATGGCAAGATCTCGAATTCACCTAGACTTGAAGGAAGAAGGGCAGGAACTGATACGCAAGCAGCCAATCAATGAGCTAGCTAGCACTGAGAGGTGAAGTACCGAAATTCAGAGTCTCGCTTCAGAACAGATACTCGGCTCTTACCGAGGAACCCAGCCTTAGCGTTGATGCAATGAATGATAATCGGACGAGCATCATTACAGAGTGTGCCGTAGAAATAGGAGGTACGTTAGGTAGACAGGACACTGGCCAGCTGTCTCAGTAGACAAATAATCTCATCAAGAAACGTAAAGGCATGAAAGCCTGAAACACAACAGACAAAATATAACTGGCAGAGCGTTCGAAGTTCATTATTAAGCGTAGGGTACCCGGT